CTGATTCGGTCATCCGTCAATCAGCTGCTGGGCCCTCTCCCAAACCGCGTCGGTCATGGGGGAGCGGGGGGGGTGGGGTGTTTGAGCACTACGCCGTGAAAGCACGAAGATCAGACATCTCCCACTACTGACTGACGTTAACCGCGTGGCCTGGCCTTGAACTGGGGCCACCGCTTTCAGAGTCAAGGGCAGTAACCACCGCGCCACCGCTCCCGCTCTTGGCATATTCCTTCAAGTTGCAGTGTTTTTCGTGAACCTCTTCTTCTTTTGTACGGCTGCTGATGTAGATGACAATTTCACATTCCGGTGGCCAAACCCAGATCACCGCTGCGATGTCTCCTTCGAATGTGTGGATCGGGGCATTGCGTCGTCGTGCGTTGCACTTCGGTCTGTCCAGGATGTGACCACAGTCGTACCACGCCTACTGGAGAATTTCCAACGTTCCGTTTGTGCACCAGGTATTCGCATCCATCATGCCGTGTGCAGCTTCGTGGAAGATCAAACCCCAGAGGATCTTCTGCCTTGGGTGTTTCAATCGACCAATGAGAACACTCTGGATATAACGAGAGTCTTAGATCCGTTGGCGTCATCGGAGTCGACGAGCAGTGGCCCAACGAGAGAGCGCAAGAGCGCGAGATTCCCCCACGGGCAGCGCTGTAAAGTGGCACGGCACGGCACGGCATGGCACGGCACGAGCAGCCCACCAGGTCGCCGTGCCCGCGGCTCCGAGCGTCATCGTCCCCCCTCGCCCGCCCGCCCGCCTGCACGACGTCTCGTTGCTGAGCTCCCGTTGCTCCCGCAGCTGCCAGATGCCTCCACCCTCCCCCACGTGTCCAGGCGCGCGTCGTGACATGTAAAGTGGGTAACGCGGTGGCTCGGAGATGTTAACTGCCTCACCTGGTATACAGGAGGTCTTGGGTTCGATCCCGACCCTTGACTCCTGTTGTATATTTGGAGTTTGTGTGTCTCTCTCTCTCCGTGGTCGCGTGGATTTTTCTCCGGCGTCCTCCGGTTTTTCTCCTCCACATTTAGAATCAACATCACGTGTTTAGAGTATTTGGCTGCGATGAATGTCCACGCGATCAGCCACTTGGGCGAGCTATCATTCCCACCAGGTCGCTTCTCAAACAGAGCTACGTATGGCTGAGTGAGCCTTGCCCGGTAACATAAAACACATTGTTTAGTTGTACTGCAAGGTCTGGCCACGTCCGTCCAGTACTCGTCGAGCTGCATCTGGCTTCCGGTTGCTGAACAAATACCACGACGACGGTCGCGCTCGTTCCACACAAAGCGCTCGCCACAAAGGAACCACAAGACCTCGCCGATTTCGTCAAGGAGCCTAAACCACCACCGCGCGAACTCCGGCCACTGTCGCAGTTAGCGGCTTTTGGCTGAACCGTCGAAGAAAGACGGCGGTCACCGCATCATCGCGCGGAGCTTTCAGATGCGCTTCTGCGGCCGTCTGGAACGCTCTTCCCTTCCGATATTCGTTGTCACTGGAGCTATCCATTTGTAAATCCTCTAGATTAAAAACGAACTTCTCTAGAACTGCTTGTTATGCTTTGTTTCTTGTCCTCGTCCCGCAACTACGATTAGCGCGGTTGGCTACGTACGGTGCGAAAGAAGTTCCGCGCATACATACATCCAGAACGTTCCAGGGCGCTCCTAAAAAACACTCCTCGAAGCTCAGTCGCTGAGTTCTCAGTGGGAATTTCATCCTCATGGGAATTTCATCTCATTGAGAACTCTGGCTGCGAGCAGTGCATCTCCTTGAGTGACAGAATGCCAGGTGGTTGATGACACAGTTGACCTCAGAGAACTACTTCTGGGGTCCATTCGTTGCCCTCTGAGCCACGGTGATCAAGGGCACCTTGCCACACGCCCTGCTGCAGATAACCTAAAAATATTTTTTTTTGCATGAACATTTTTTGTAAATTCTAGCAGGTAAGGCCCAGTGAGATGCTCTGTAGCTCTTTTATCAAAAGCAAACTTGCTATAAAAATGATAGCTCAACGAAGTGGCTCATCACGTGGAAATCTAAATACTCTAAAGGCACGTTCACTCTAAATGTGGGGAAAGACCAGAGGACCCGGAGAAAAATCCACGCAACCCCGGGGAGAGAGACATGCAAACTCCAAATATACAACAGGCGTCTGGGTCAGGATCGAACCCACGTCCTCCTGCATACCAGGCGAGGTAGTTAACATCTCCCAGCCACCGTCGCGACCCTGTGTTGTGTCACACGGTTACAAAACGTAAACTTTTTTTATCCCCCAGACATGGATTATAACAAATTGAGTGAGAAAAAAAACATTTAATTACGGGTTTATGTTGGTGCAGCCACTGGTATCCTGGCTAAAATGATCAACTCTCTGCGCATGGGAACCCACTTTAATCTTAACTCGGTCTGTGCGAGTCTACATATGTCTGTGTACAAGTCATCAGTTACCCAGATGACACCATCAACTCTCCGCACATGAGAACCCACTTTAATCTCAACTGGGTCTATACGAGTCTACATATGTCTGTGTACAAGTCATCAGTTACCCCGATGACACCATCTGGGTAACCGCCGCTGTCACCGCTTGTTTCACGCGTAAGCAACGACGACGCCGCCGTGTCTTCCCTTGTACTGCTCTCTCTCTCTCTCGAGAATGAGACTGTGCGAAAGACACTGTTTGAAGATGTTATTTGATAATTTGGCAATAAACAAACTGATCTCCAAAAATGATAATAGGGCTTTCCCCCTTTTTCTGGCAACAAAACAGGTGTTAAGATGTTAAAACACCAAACTGAAACCTTTTACAAGGAATCATGTCTGCATTGACCACAATGCTTGTGGTCAGAATGCAAACAAAAACCATACTCTGATAATGTATGCATTGTGTTTGAAACTGATTGGTCCACACCAGAGACAGCTTTCTTTGGAGCGAGTTGGTGATGATCTCAAAAGGTCAATCTCCGATGTTCAACTTCACCTCATGAAAAAAAAGATTCATGTGACGCTGCCTCTTTGTATCTAGACTGTGCCAATCCTTGCCATATATAAATGTATGCATTTAAGACGATAGTTTGTTTATTTTTATATAATTAAAAAAAAAAAACGTGGTTAAAAACATTCGTAGGCCCTTTAGTTTCCGCAGGCCCTAGGCACAGTGCACTATGTGGCCTATTAGATAACGGCCCTGGTGGGTGGGTGAGAGGGTGAGTGGGTGACTGGCTGGGTGAGTGGGTGAATGAGTGAGTGGGTGGGTGAATGAGTGGGTAAATGAGTGAGTGGGTGGCTGGGTGAGTGTGTGAGTACATGAGTGGGTGAATGAAAAAGTGGGTGGCTGGGTGAGTGAGTGGGTGGGTGGGTGAATGAGTGAGTCGGTGACTGAGTGAGTGAGCGAGTGGCTGGGTGAGTGAGTGGGTGAATGAAAGAATGGGTGGCTGGGTGAGTGAGTGGGTGGGTGGGTGAATGAGTAAGTGGATGACTGGGTGAGTGAGTGAGTGGGTGGGTGAATGAATGAGCGGGTGACTGGGTGAGCGAGTGTGTGAATGAGTGAGCGAGTGGCTGGCTGAGTGAGCGGGTGGCTGGCTGAGCGAGTGGGTGAATGGGTGAGCGGGTGGCTGGGTGAGTGAGCGGGTGACTGACTGGGTGGGCGAATGGCTGGCTGAGTGAGTGGGTGAATGAATGAGCGGATGGCTGGCTGGGTGAGCGGGTGACTGGGTGAGCGAGTGGGTGAATGAATGAGCGGGTGGCTGGCTGGGTGAGCGAGTGGCTGGCTGAGCGAGTGGGTGAATGAGTGAGCGGGTGACTGGGTGAGTGAGCGAGTGGCTGGCTGAGTGAGTGGGTGAATGAATGAGCGGGTGGCTGGCTGGGTGAGCGAGTGGCTGGCTGAGTGAGTGGGTGAATGAATGAGCGGGTGGCTGGGTGAGTGAGCGGGTGACTGGGTGAGTGAGCGAGTGGCTGGGTAAGTGAGCGGGTGACTGGGTGAGTGAGCGAGTGGCTGGCTGAGTGAGTGGGTGAATGAATGAGCGGGTGGCTGGCTGGGTGAGCGAGTGGCTGGCTGAGTGAGTGGGTGAATGAATGCGCGGGTGGCTGGCTGGGTGAGCGAGTGGCTGGCTGAGTGAGTGGGTGAATGAATGAGCGGGTGGCTGGGTGAGTGAGCGGGTGACTGGGTGAGTGAGTGGGTGAATGAATGAGCGGGTGGCTGGCTGGGTGAGCGAGTGGCTGGCTGAGCGAGTGGGTGAATGAGTGAGCGGGTGACTGGGTGAGTGAGCGAGTGGCTGGCTGAGTGAGTGGGTGAATGAATGAGCGGGTGGCTGGCTGGGTGAGCGAGTGGCTGGCTGAGTGAGTGGGTGAATGAATGAGCGGGTGGCTGGGTGAGTGAGCGGGTGACTGGGTGAGTGAGCGAGTGGCTGGGTGAGTGAGCGGGTGACTGGGTGAGTGAGCGAGTGGCTGGCTGAGTGAGTGGGTGAATGAATGAGCGGGTGGCTGGCTGGGTGAGCGAGTGGCTGGCTGAGTGAGTGGGTGAATGAATGAGCGGGTGGCTGGCTGGGTGAGCGAGTGGCTGGCTGAGTGAGTGGGTGAATGAATGAGCGGGTGGCTGGGTGAGTGAGCGGGTGACTGGGTGAGTGAGTGGGTGAATGAATGAGCGGGTGACTGGGTGAGTGAGCGAGTGGGTGAATGAGTGAGCGGGTGACTGGGTGAGTGAGCGAGTGGCTGGCTGAGTGAGCGGGTGACTGGGTAAGAGAACGAGTGGCTGGCTGGGTGAGTGAGTGGGTGAAAGAATGAGTGGGTGGGTGAATGAATGAATGAGTGGGTAGCTGGCTGGCTGGGTGAGCGAGTGGGTGAATGAGGGAGTGGGTGACTGGCTGGGTGAGTGAGTGGGTGAATGAATGAGTGGGTGGCTGGCTGGCTGGGTGAGTGAGTGGGTGAATGAATCAGTGGGTGGCTGGCTGGCTGGGTGAGCGAGTGGGTGAATGAGTGAGCGAGTGGCTGGGTGAGAACTCACCACCAGCAGCAGCGGCATCAGCAGCAGAGCGGCGAGCCAGGTGAGCGGCGAGCGGCTCCCCATCGGCGTGGCGAGCGAGAGGCGACGAGGTTCGCTGTGGAACTCCTCAAACGAGCCTCTTGTGACCGCCACCGTCCATTCATTCATCGAGACGCCAACTATTTGTGTCGTTGTTGTTGTTGATTAATTTAAATCGATCGCAAGAGAGCGTAACCCGCGCGAAGACACTGAACAACACCGACAAACAAACAAAATGCCAAAGCGGGCCAGACCGGGGGGGGGGGGGGTCAATCCGTTCCAAGTGCGCCGTGGGTAAAGCTGCGAGCGAGGTGGAGTTCAAAGCAACTTGACGCGCGCAAAAGAGAGAGGCCGCCGGGGAGGGGAGTGAGCGCGCTTCTTCTACTTCTTGTTGTTGGTGGTGACCCTTGCCGGTGCGAGAGAGGGCACGGGATGGCGGTGGTGGCGGTGGTGGTGGTGCTGATGACGATGCGCTCCTCGTTGGGAGAGGAGCAAGACTGCGTAACACCCCCAACACCCCACCCCACCCACCTCCTCCTCCCGGGGGTCTTCCACGAGGGGGGCTGCGCTGGGGAGACGGAGCGAGAGCGGCGAAGCCTGAACGCAGGGAAACGACGGCGGCTGCGGCTGCGGCTATCGCTTACAGGGGAGGCCACCTGGCCCCGTCACCGCTCACGGGGAGGGGACGGGGGGAGATCGAATGGCTCGGGGTTGGTGCATCAGCATCCAGCCCGCGCGGTTCTTTCTCCGTAGTGAGCAACCTCCCTCGCTCTGCACCCTCTCCCTCCCTCCCTCTCCCTTCCTTCTCTCCCTCTCTCTTTTTTTTACGATCAGTGGAAACAAGAAGATGCTCGGTGTAGTCGGCACTTTGCTTCGTTAGTTTTTTTTTCAATGCTTTGCTTTATGTGCCCCCCCCCCCCCCCATTTTAAATGAAATATTTCACGAAATATTTCACGCTCTTCTCTCCTCCTCCTTCTTACCCCTTCCCCCTCTCTCTACCCCCTCTCTCTCTCTACCCCCTCTCTCTCTCTACCCCCTCTCTCTCTCTACCCCCTCTCTCTCTCTACCCCCTCTCTCTACGCCATCTCTCTCTACCCCCTCTCTCTCTCTCTACCCCCTCTCTCTCTCTACCCCCCTCTCTCTCTCTACCCCCTCTCTCTACGCCATCTCTCTCTACCCCCCTCTCTCTTCTCTACCCCCCTCTGTCTACCCCCTCTCTCTACCCCCTTTCTCTAACCCCTCTCTCTCTCTCTACCCCCTCTCTCTCTCTACCCCCTCTCTCTACCCCCTCTCTCTACCCCCTCTCTCTACCCCCTTTCTCTAACCCCTCTCTCTATTCTACCCCCTCTCTCTCTACCCCCTCTCTCTCTACTCCATGTCTACGTCCCCCCTCCCTCCCCTCCGCTCCCTCTCTGCCCCCACTCTGTCACTCACGCACACAAACTCAGGCAGGAGCAAGGGGTGGTGGTGGTGCTGGTCTCCTGGCAACACTGCCCGCTATTCACCATCCCCCAGCGCGCACGCACACAACAATAGCGCGAGCGGGAGTTGGCTTGGATTTTATTTCGATATTAATGACACACTTTATTTAACTTGCCCTGTTCTCTGCTGGGGTTTATTTATTATTTATTTTTTAACTCTTTGACGCTTCATATCTTCGTCTCACGTGGCGATTCAAGATTGCGTTTAAAGAACCGGTCCAGATACCGCCGATCCTGGGCCGATGCTTTTTTTAAAACTCATTTTGTGTTGCACTATGTGGAATATATTACAACTATCCACACAATAATGAACAAGTGTCGTTGTCGGGATTGAGATCTTAGAATTAATATGTATGTATACAATTTATTTCTTTACAAGATTAACAATTAATTAAAATAAATACGTGATCCACACCAAGTTTTGTCAATGCACACACTTTTATTACCACTCAAAAGTAGAAAATGAATTATTTTCACTCCAGAATTAATCGCGTTTGATGTGCTGTTTAAAGTGGGGGGGGGGGGGGGCTTGCATTAATGGAAATTAACGACATCGATTGGAAGCCACCCACTTGTATTCAGCACATAAAATGTAATACATCCTGGGGTCACAGTAATTTATTTTCAACTTTCGAGTGCAAATAAAAGTGTGCGCATTGCAAAAATAGTTTTCTTTTTTACAATTTTTTTGTTATTCAATCGCAAATTAAGTACGGGCACGTGAAGTGCAACAACTACTTGGTTTCATCAAAACCTATACCAGTGCCGGAATATCCTAGGAGCAAAAGTAGCTACACGTAACTAGTAACTACACGTGTAGTAGCTGCACGTGTAGTAGCTACAAAAGTAGTAGCTGCACGTGTAGTAGCTACATAAGTAGTAGCTACATAAGTAGTAGCTACATAAGTAGTAGCTACAAAAGTAGTAGCTACAAAAGTAGTAGCTACATAAGTAGTAGCTACATAGGTAGTAGCTACAAAAGTAGTAGCTACATAAGTAGTAGCTACATAAGTAGTAGATACGAGCCCCGAACTTTCAAGAACCCCGCGCTAAAAATGCTTTCAAGCTATAAATTCCGGTTCAGTGACTCTGCACTTGCTCTATTACTATAGTACTACACCGCCTTCAACTTTGATGAACGACTGCGTGTTTAAGGTTAGCGATTTGTCGTATTATCTGGCTGTATAGCAAATGAAAAAATACAATTACTTCACTATTCAACTAAAAAAATTACGAGTTTTTTATTTATTTAGGGACCCTTTGTAACATATGCTACAGGTCCCGCACGAGCTCGATCCGACACTGCCCTATACGTCTGTGTCAACATTGTACATTTTGTATAACTATTGAGAACCAAAGGGGTGCAAGGCTGCAGTAGAGGTTATATAAGAAGAAGAACCGCTGCTTTGAAGAATCTCCAGTGGCAAGGTCGCAGGGCAGCACTGAACCGGGTCTTCATTCACCACCACCGCCGCCGCCACCCATCGTCGTTAACGGGGTCACCACCACCACGGCGATGGGGAGACCCCTAGCGGAGTAGCAACATCGCAACCCAGAGACAGAACAACGCTGGGAATGCTCCCTTGAAACACGGGGGCTTCCCGCAGCTCGCAGGGCCACCTGCGGCTCCAGTTAGCACGGTGGGCTACGTAACGTGCGAAAGAACTTCAACATACACACTGCCCATAGACTCAACACTGCCCATAGACTCAACACTGCCCGTAGACTCAACACTGCCCATAGACTCAACACTGCCCATAGACTAACACTGCCCATAGACTCAACACTGAACCATAGACTCAACACTGCCCATAGACTCAACACTGCCCATAGACTCAACACTACCCATAGACTCAACACTGCCCATAGACTCAACACTGCCCATAGACTCAACACTGCCCATAGACTCAACACTGCCCATAGACTCAACACTGCCCATAGACTCAACACTGCCCATAGACTAACACTGCCCATAGACTCAACACTGCCCATAGACTAACACTGCCCATAGACTCAACACTGCCCATAGACTAACACTGCCCGTAGACTAACACTGCCCATAGACTAACACTGCCCATAGACTAACACTGCCCATAGACTAACACTGCCCATAGACTAACACTGCCCATAGACTCAACACTGCCCATAGACTAACACTGCCCATAGACTCAACACTGCCCATAGACTCAACACTGCCCATAGACTAACACTGCCCGTAGACTAACACTGCCCATAGACTCAACACTGCCCATAGACTCAACACTGCCCATAGACTCAACACTGCCCATAGACTCAACACTGCCCATAGACTAACACTGCCCATAGACTAACACTGCCCATAGACTAACACTGCCCATAGACTAACACTGCCCATAGACTAACACTGCCCATAGACTCAACACTGCCCATAGACTAACACTGCCCATAGACTCAACACTGCCCATAGACTCAACACTGCCCATAGACTAACACTGCCCGTAGACTAACACTGCCCATAGACTCAACACTGCCCATAGACTCAACACTGCCCATAGACTAACACTGCCCATAGACTCAACACTGCCCATAGACTAACACTGCCCATAGACTCAACACTGCCCATAGACTCAACACTGCCCATAGACTCAACACTGCCCATAGACTAACACTGCCCGTAGACTAACACTGCCCATAGACTCAACACTGCCCATAGACTAACACTGCCCATAGACTCAACACTGCCCATAGACTAACACTGCCCGTAGACTAACACTGCCCATAGACTAACACTGCCCATAGACTCAACACTGCCCATAGACTAACACTGCCCATAGACTCAACACTGCCCATAGACTAACACTGCCCATAGACTCAACACTGCCCATAGACTCAACACTGCCCATAGACTAACACTGCCCGTAGACTAACACTGCCCATAGACTCAACACTGCCCATAGACTAACACTGCCCGTAGACTAACACTGCCCATAGACTCAACACTGCCCATAGACTCAACACTGCCCATAGACTAACACTGCCCATAGACTCAACACTGCCCATAGACTCAACACTGCGCCTCCGATGAGCACGGTTGGCTACATACGGTACGAAAGAAGTTCAACATACGTGTGCCGAGTCGGAGATATGCAAATGACACACACTGTCGGCTGATGTATGTTGTTATTTACATTCTGCGCGACGATTCTAATGACTCTTTAAAGTCGACGGGTGTCAAGTGGAGTGTTGTTCATCATCACGACTCCGCTGTAGCCGCAGACCGCGGCGCTTTCTCAGTCTGTGCCCTGGGGTATCCGCGCCACCTGCCAGGGGTTTGTGCAGCGGATGCGATTTTTGGCTCATCAAGGGTCGACCCTCAACCGCATCCACTACACGAACCGTGGGCAGTAAATGCAGGTGATAGCTGCTGCGCGAACGGACAAATTGTAACAAACTCTCCAGTCGTGGTGGTGCCACTGTGGCACCACCACGACTGAACAGCAGTCCACAACCTTTTTGGCACCAGAGACCGGTTTCGTGGAAGACAATGTTTTCACGGACGGGGGGGGGGGGGTCATCATTGGGTCTTTCCCCCTTTTCAAAGCTTTTTTTTTACTCGTAGGCTTACCAACACTGTGACTGAGACAAGCGCGGACGGAAGTGGTAATGTAGAGCAGTCTGCTGTAGTGACAATGACTTCACCACAGGGCATTGTGGGTAATGTAGAGTCTCCTGTAGTGACAATGACATCACCGCAGGGCATTGTGGGTAATGTAGAGTCTCCTGTAGTGACAATGACATCACCGCAGGGCATTGTGGGTAATGTAGAGTCTCCTGTAGTGACAATGACATCACCGCAGGGCATTGTGGGTAATGTAGAGTCTCCTGTAGTGACAATGACATCACCGCAAGGCATTGTGGGTAATGTAGAGGGGTCTTCTAAAGAGCCACGGCTCCACGAGCACTGGAGAGGCTACCGCTCAGTGTGCTATCAGTCACCTACAAAGATCCCCTGTAAAGGCTTTAACAGCCTGTTGGGGCAAGTGTTGTTAGCGAACCCCCGTGAAGGCTGGAACGGCACACGAGGGGGTGGGTGGCCAGTACCACTCCCACTCGTGTTTGTCTCTTCCAATGCTATTGTTTACACACCGCACCAGGTTCTCATTTAAGGTCGAGTTGCCTAGAGGAGGCCCAAGACCGGTTCAGATAATCGTCACTGGCCTTGGCCGTGAGCGGGAATCAAACTCAGGTTTGCGGGTTCGTAGCGTAGCACGCTAATCACTGCACTACCACTTCCTGCGACCATACGAACTACACGAACCATTCAGAGCTAGGTTGTGCGGAGCACAGGGCATTGCTGCCAAATCAAATATTGTTCTGTACTTCTATGCTCTCTCCTTCACCGGCCCGGGTAGGGCAAGGTTGTAACTGGTTGCAATAAACACGAAGGACGCAACTATTTTTTTACGTAAATTTTTACTTCCCCGCCATTGTATGTATATATAAATCACACATCATTACACCAGTCATCATCGTAAGCCATCATTGCTTTAATCCTAATTAAAATATGTAGTGCTACAATCGTCACGGATCGAGGTTTATCATTATTATAATAATCATAAATAATCATTATTCATGCGAATCATCACTGCTGCCATCCCATCGCAAGACGCCAGGAGATGGGCGTCAACCCGCGTACTCAAAGGGCGCGCGACCTTTGACACCCAGTCCGGTGATCTGCAAAAAGAACACGGGGGGGGGGGGGGGCGAAACAAATGAATCATCTCCACATAATCATCGTCATCATCACTTCGACCAATCCACTGCTGGATGACCCCCCCCCCCTTACCCCCCCAATCCGAGCCGTCTTGCAAGAACAAGTGCTGAAACGGTGCGCAAAGAAGTGGGGAGAGATGCACGCCTGGGATAACTGGAATCGCGACCAGAGGCGGAAAGAGGACACGGATGCGTTGGACGGCATTACGGATGTGAGGGAACATCGGAGCGACCATTAAACAAAGTGGGCTTCTAGAATCAGAATGTTGTATTTATACTGCAGGAGGAATCCGATGAGCCACACAGCTCTTTATTCACAGACGTCGTCCAGTGAGGGGCACGGGGTCAGGACGTTACAACAACAAAAAAACACGACGGGCAGCGCAGAGGTGCCGAAGGAACGCTGGCCGAGCGGTGGAGGCCACACCGACGGGCGTGGTCTCGGAAGAGACGGCGTCCACCGCACACGGACGGAGACGGAGCGGTGGAATCGGATTGTGTTTGGCCGCGCGTTTGGTCGTGTCAACGCAGGGCCGTGGGAAGGTGGATGCCTCCAACATCGTCAGCAGATTGATCGTGACTTGATGACGGATGGATCGTCGTCGGCGTCACCCGGGTCCACGTTTTCCCCGACGCTTGGCTCGCGGAGGTCTCAAGGACGGATGGGCTCTCTTGCGTAGGCAGCCGATAAGTCGGGTGTTGTGGACATCGAGAGGACTTACGCGGCGATGAGATGTTAACTACCTCGCCTGGTGTGCAGGAGGTCGTGAGTTCTATCCCAACCCTGACGACGCCTGCTGTATATGTGGAATCTGCGTCTTTCTCTCTCTCATCATCATCACGGTAGCTAGGAGATGTAACTAACTCGCCTGATACACAGGAAGTCGTGGGTTCGATCCTGACCCTGACGCCGCCTGCTGTATATTTGGAGTTTGCGTGTCTCTCTTCCCGTGTTCGGTGTTCCCCTAGAGTATTTGGCTGCTTATACATTTCCGCACGATGACGATAAGCCACTTCGTTGAGCTGTCATTTGTGATAGCCAGGACGCTCCTGAAAAAGAGCTATGTAGCTCGGTGGGGCCTCAACTGGTAAACAAAAAAGTAGCAAATGGACATATTGGTGGTACAAACCGGTGCAGCATAACACACCGGTCCTCGTAAAACAGTCAAAAATCTAAAATTTGAATCGGCAAATCTGTCTATCAGTATTCTTGGTTCTTTCGGTAAAGTCACGTAGAAGGGAAGTAATAAAAAAATAAAAATAAAACAATAAAATTCTCACGACGTTTCGATTGCAACACAAGCAATCATCATCACACCTGATGATGGTGATTGCTTGTGTTGTTTTATTTTATTGTTTTATTTTATTATTTTCCTTCTACGTGACTTTACCGAAAGAACCAAGCATATGAATCCCTGCAGTCACGAAAGCTTTAAAACGAAATCTGTCTATCAGTCTTTAATTGACCCTGTCGCCAAGTTTGACGCAATTCGAAGGTTTATTCAGTTTGTTGAATCGAGGAACTGCCCGACCAAGTCGAGGTAGGGCACAAGTAGTGAAATCTTGCCTCTGGAATAACGGAGCCAGCCCATCGCCAACAGGGCTGGGTGCTGTTGTACGGCAACAGACCGCTCGTATCAACGTTCGTCTCTGTAGACTGCTCCGACATCACGACAACTGATTTTGACTCGCACCACCAGAACCACCAGTTTAACAGTAGGCGTTCGCGACCGATATCATCCATAATACGCAAGTGACAGAATCACATCTACGCCTCTATTTAAGGAACGAAACAGGAGGAGGATTTCTCCACAAATCTGGCTGTCGCCTGATGAAGCTGGTTGTAATTACCGGCGAAACGTCGTACTCCGATTGTAAATGTTGTGGCTTTGCTCTCCGACACACCGGTGTGCTGTACTAGTATACTACACTATACACGACACTATACACGACACTATACACTACACTATACACTACACTACACACTATTATACACTACACTATACACTACTATACACTACACTACTATACACTACACTACTATACACTACACTATACACTACACTATATACTACTATACACTACACTACTATACACTACACTATACACTACTACACTATACGCTACTATACACTACACTATACACTACTACACTATACACTACACTATACACTACACACTAGTGCTGTACTAGTAACGAATTGGCCACGTTCTGTTTACCTGACAAACCTTACTAGTTGGCCGTGTCGGGCGGTGGCGGGTTTAACGACACACGTTTATACATTTACCACCACCACCAATCCGCACGATTTTCTAACCGGGGTTGCGAAAGGGGAAATAAATGATTAAGCATTTACACATTTTCCCACGCCGGTACGTTCACACGGCATCGAGAGAGAGAGAGCAGCAGCGGTGGCGGTAGCGGCACCTTGAAGACGTTCCCGGCCTGGGGCTCGCGCGCCAGCCCGGCGGCGTCCAGCCCCTCGCAGGCCGACGTGACGAAGAGCTCCGCGTAGTCGGGGCCCCCGAAGCAGCAGGAGGTCGTCTTGGACACGGGCAGCTTCACCACCTGCAGGCGCTTGCCTGTGCACCGCCAACAGCATCAGCATCGTCATCATCATCACCAGCATCGTCATCATCATTATCATCATCACCATCATTATCATCACCATCATCACCACCATCATCATCATCACCATCATCATCACCATCATCATCACAATCATCATCACCATCATCACCACCATCATCATCATCACCATCATCATCACTACCATCATCTCCACCATCATCACCATCATCATCATCGTCATCATCACCACCATCATCATCACCATCATCATCTCCACCATCATCACCACCATCATCTCCACCATCATCACCACCATCATCACCACCATCATCATCGTCATCATCACCACCATCATCGTCATCATCATCATCACCATCATCATCACCACCATCACCATCATCATCACCAGCATCGTCATCATCACCATCATCATCACCAGCGTCGTCATCATCACCACCAGTGTCAAGGTTAGCAGAACCATCGTCGTTGTCATCACCACCAGCACGAGCGTCAAGATCGGCATAACATCGTCATCATCATCATCATCACAACCAGCGTCATCATCACCACCATCACCACCATCAAGAAGAGCGGAATTATCAGCATCCTCACCATCACCACCGCCAGTGTCAAGGTCGACAGAATCATAGTTATGATCAGTGTCAAGGTCACTACCATGAGCATCAATGTCAGAATCATCATTGTCATCATCGTCAAGGCATGATCAATATCAGCTTCAAATCTAGAATGATCAATATCATTGACAGAATAACGTCAACATCCACACCACACGCGGCCATAGGAGGCTTGCCGTTTCCACGCTGTTACCGACGAGGATGCTAATGACGATGACGCTGAGGATGATGTGATGGCGCTGCTGCAGGAAACATGATGATAACGATGACGATGATGATGTCAATGATGCTGATGACAATGATGCTGATGTGGGTGCTGCTGAAGACTATTACTCCGACGACTAGGACTCTAGGCACGACGGAATTTCTACGATCACCATGCTGGCGATGCTGGTGACGACGATGATGCTGGTGATGTCGATGATGCTGATGACGTCAATGCCGGTGACGTCGATGATGCTGGTGACGACAATGATGCTGATGACGACGATGCTGCTGATGACGACGATGCTGCTGATGACGTTGATGATGCTGATGACGTCATGCTGGTGATGACGTCAGTACTGGTGACGTCGATGATGCTGATGACGTCAATGCTGATGACGTCGATGCTGCTGATGATCACGATCGTGACGCCGACGCCGACGCCGCTGACCGGTTTCGGGATCGATGCGAATGACACGGCCCCCGTTGTAGCAGGCCACCCAGAGGCGGCCCTCCGCATCCAGGCACTGCCCATCAGGGATCGCCTCATCCTGGCTCAAAGCGGTACACCACCCTGCGATCCGCTGGGGGACACACACACAGCGGTACACACACACAGCGGTACACTACCCTGCAGCCTGCTGGGACACACACACACACACACAGTGGTACATAACCCTGCTGGGACACACACACACAGCGGTACACCGCCCTGCTGGACACACACACAGCAGTACACTGCCCTGCTGGGACACACACACAGCGGTACACTGCCCTGCTGGACACACGCACACACACAGCGGTACACTGCCCTGATGGGACACACACACAGCGGTACACCGCCCTGCTGGGACACACGCACACACACAGCGGTACACTGCCCTGATGGGACACACACACACAGCGGTACACCGCCCTGCTGGGACACACACACACACAGCGGTACACTGCCCTGCTGGAACACACACACACACAGCGGTACACCGCCCTGCTGGGACACACACACAGCGGTACACTGCCCTGCTGGGACACACACACACACAGCGGTACACCGCCCTGCTGGGACACACACACACAGCGGTACACTGCCCTGCTGGACACACACAGAGCAGTACACACACACACAGCGGTACACTGTCCTGCTGGGACACACACACACACAGCGGTACACTGCCCTGCTGGGACACACACACACACAGCGGTACACCGCCCTGCTGGGACACACACACACAGCGGTACACCGCCCTGCTGGACACACGCACACACACAGCGGTACACTGCCCTGCTGGACACACGCACACACACAGCGGTACACCGCCCTGCTGGGACACACACACACACACAGCGGTACACCGCCCTGCTGGGACACACACAGAGCAGGACATACACACACACAGCGGTACACTGCCCTGATGGGACACACACACACACAGCGGTACACTGCCCTGCAGTCTGCTGGGACACACACACACAGAACAAAAATCCCCCTAAAACTCTGTGCCTTACAATTGAGATGCAATTCGCAGAAACGGCGCTGCATAAAAATGCTGAATTGCTCATTACGATTAAACAATAAACAATAATTACTGACCTCCCACTGATTATAATCAGTGGGAGGTCCCTCATTCTCGTCTGCTGCCCCGAGAGCGTGGGACGGCATTCAGCCTGTTAAGGCTACACGGGGGATCTTTGTCTTTGGTGTTCAGTCAGAGCGTGGCTGAGTGAAGCAGGAGGCAGACGGAGGCCCTAAGCTGGAAGTGAAACGGAGCAACGTTCCTGCACGTAACATTGGACACAGCGGTAGCGATTGGCAGATCAAAGCAAGATCCCCATCCGGCCAATCAGAGCGTCCGCGGATGAATGGGAGGACAGACAGACAAGACGAGACACCGCAGACGATAATGAATGGGCGCAGCAATACGGAGGGCATTGACTCCCTACTAACAACACGCACACTTGCTTCTGGTGTTCACGGACAGGAATGGATGGGAGAGAGACCGACAGAGACGAAGAGGAAGGAGGCCAAAGCCCGCGTGGAAATTCATGAGCGGCAACAGGACTCTGAGGCCCGTCGCCCCCAAGCCGTTCCGCGTAGCGCCACGAACGGCGCCTGCGGGTAGCAGCGGGTCGGCCATGAAAAGGTTCTACGAACAACGCCCCTCGGCTCGCAAAGCAAACCAAGTAGATTAACGGCTCCCCTTTTGAGTTGTTCTCCATGAGCAGAAAAAGGACATTCTGGGGCAGCTCCCGCCTCCCGCCCCCCGCTCACCCCCCGATCCCCCCCCCCCCGGGGTGCCAGCAGCGATTACTGTGGGCCCACGGAGATCAAAGACGCCTCGCCGGTGGGGGAGAGTCTCACAAAAGGGGGCCTCGAACGTCGTGGCGAAAAAACGGACGGACGGATGGATGAAGGAATGGAGGATTGTGGCGCTTGCATCTGCACCGAGCACTTTGGATTTTTTTATGTCTTTCACTTGTCGTTCTTTTTTCTTTCTTTTGTCTTTTTTTATTCCTTTTCCTTTCTTCTTTCTTTCTTTTTTTCTTTCTTTTTTCTTTCACTTAATGTCCTTTTGTGGAACCGTGCGACAACTCATTAAGACGCAAAAATCCTCTTAGCTAATTGAGATCCTGAGGCCTAGAAGAGGAAACTCCGGGTGTCCGCCACTCGGCGGCGATTGGCGCGGTTGGCTACGTACGGTGCGAAAGAAGTTCAACACACATCCGGTACATTCTCACCACGTGATGAGCCACTTCGCTGAGCTATCATTTGCGGTAGGCGACTCGCTGCTGAAAAAGAGCCACGTAGCTCAGTGGGGCCTCGCCTGGTTAAATTAAAATCGAGTAAATTATTTGAATAGTTTTTAGGCCAGCAGCACCGCGGTTTTGGCTCCGGCCTTGGCGGCGCGGCAAATGCTAGGGAGCCGGCACACGCACGCAGGCCGGCTCCGTAAAATCGGCAGTGGCATCGGCAACCGTCAGGGGTGGGCGGGGGGGGCCACGCGGGGGGGGGGCCACACGGGGGGAGGGGGGATGCGCGCGGGAGGCTCACAGAGGGCGCCGGTGGTGACGTCGTACTTGAAGGCGAACACGCTGTAGGCGAGGCTGTCGATGTAGAAGAAGGTGGCGTTGTCGAGCGACCAGTCGAGGCCATTGGAGATGTCGACGTCGCGGAAGTGGCGCGTGGCGGTGGCGTCGCTGCCGTCGCTGCCCGCGGCGTGCAGGCTGTAGAGCGAGCCCTGCTTCCGCTCCAGCACGGCCGGTGCCGTCTCGTGGCCCATGGTGCCTTTGCGGGAGGCGGGTGGCGGGGGAAGAGAGATGCCCGGGGTGATAAAGCGAGAGTCAAAATCAAGGTGCAGCCCTGCAAGACGTTAACTACCTCGCCTGGTGTGCAGGAGGTCGTGGGTTCGATCCCGACCCTGACGATGCCTGCTGTATGGCTCAGTGGGCCTTACCTGGTAAAATAAAAGAAATTGTTTAGTTTTAATTGTTTCCTCACGTCCTCCTTAGCAGGTTACTTTGGCCTACTCTTCCACGCTGGCCAGACATCTTGGAAGAGCCAAGTGTATATAATATATATATACACATAACTGTCAATTCATACACATAAGTGTATATATGTATTGACGGTTTTCGGCACAGCACGGGAGACATTCATTTTCTCTTTGCCACGACTGTGACCGTGTGTTCGTCATCCCCCTTGGATAGAGCCACGTGCAGAGGATTTAAAGAGCCACAAGCAGCTCCAGAGACGCCGGTCGGCCACCGCTGCTCTAGAAGAGAACGTCTGGCCAATGCTTCCCACGCCAGACAGAATTCTTGGGAGACGTGGGGGGGGGGGGGGGGGGAGGGTTACCCACACTCTAACCCACCACACTCGGACCCTGCCGAGTCACTGTGACTTTAATGTGCACATCCTTCCCGCACCTCTCATTAGCACGGATGGCTATGTCCGCTGCGAAATGGCAGAAGTTCAACATACAAAGAGAGACAAAGATCCCCCGTATAGCCTCAACAGATTGTTGGGGCAAGTGCTGTTCGCGAGCAACTATGAAGGCCGGCACGGCACATGAGGGGGTGGGTGGCCAACACCACGCCCGGCCGCCTTTGTCTCCCCAATGATGATGTTTACACACCGCACCAGGTACTCATTTGAGGCTGAGTCGACCTAGGGCAGGCCCAGAATGGGTTCAGATAATCGTCACTGGTGTCGGCCTAGAGGGAATCGAACCCAGTTCGCCAGGTTCGTAGCACAGCGCGCTAACTGCTACACTACCGCTCCTCATACATACAACATACATACAACATACAGGGACTCAATCTCGATTTGAAGATTTCATGACTGCAGGAATCCATACTCTTTGGTGTTGCGTTCGAAACGTCGTGATTTTTTTTTCTACCTACGTGACTTTACCGAAAGAACCAAAGAGTATACAGGGACTCCTCTATTTACCAACTTTCAGAGATACGAACAAACCTGTCTGTACGTCCAGTTACAGCTGTTCGGACCGACAGCTGTAAGTTCAACCGCTGCGCAATAGATGGCGGTTGTGGCATCTACATCTGCAGAAGGTGAAGAACCAGTGGCATCTACATCTGCAGAACGTGAAGACACAGTGGCATCTACATCTGCAGAACGTGAAGAGCCAGTGGCATCTACATCTGCAGAACGTGAAGAACCAGTGGCATCTACGTCTACAGAACGTGAAGAACCAGTGGCATCTACATCTGCAGAACGTGAAGAACCAGTGGCTTCTACATCTACAGAACGTGAAAAACCAGTGGCATCTACATCTGCAGAACGTGAAGAACCAGTGGCATCTACATCTACAGAACGTGAAGAACCAGTGGCATTTACATCTGCAGAATGTGAAGAACCAGTGGCATCTACATCTGCAGAACTTGAAGAGCCAGTGGCATCTACATATACAGAACGTGAAGAACCAGTGGCATCTACATATACAGAACGTGAAGAACCAGTGGCTTCTACATCTGCAGAACGTGAAGAACCAGTGGCATCTACATCTGCAGAACGTGAAGAACCAGTGGCATCTACATCTGCAGAACGTGAAGAACCAGTGGCATCTACATATACAGAACGTGAAGAACCAGTGGCATCTACGTCTACAGAACGTGAAGAACCAGTGGCATCTACGTATACAGAACGTGAAGAACCAGTGGCATCTACATCTGCAGAAGGTGAAGAACCAGTGGCATCTACATCTGCAGAACGTGAAGACACAGTGGCATCTACATCTGCAGAACGTGAAGAGCCAGTGGCATCTACATCTGCAGAACGTGAAGAACCAGTGGCATCTACGTCTACAGAACGTGAAGAACCAGTGGCATCTACATCTGCAGAACGTGAAGAACCAGTGGCTTCTACATCTACAGAACGTGAAAAACCAGTGGCATCTACATCTGCAGAACGTGAAGAACCAGTGGCATCTACATCTGCAGAACGTGAAGAACCAGTGGCATCTACATCTGCAGAACGTAAAGAACCAGTGGCATCTACATATACAGAACGTGAAGAACCAGTGGCATCTACGTCTACAGAACGTGAAGAACCAGTGGCATCTACGTATACAGAACGTGAAGAACCAGTGGCATCTACATCTGCAGAATGTGAAGAGCCAGTGGCATCTACATCTGCAGGTCATCATGCTACTTTTAAAGCCATTCCCCGTGTTTAGTGTACACGCCGTACAACGTGTTTGGAATCGACAGGAGTAAAGTTGAACTCGCGAACAAATCGACTTACGAACGGACCTCTGGAACCTAACTCGTTCGTAAGTAGAGGAGTCCCTGGACATACAACATACACACAACATGCAAACAACATACATACAACATACATACAACATACATACAACATACATACAACATACATACAACATACAAAGCACAGAGAGCCCCTCACCAGCTCCTCGCATCCCGAGGGAGGGGCAATGCAATTAGGCACTTTGGACTTCTTTATCACCGTTACGCAGCCCAAATGAGCTAATCGGAGGTGCGTGTGGCTCTCTGTGCTCCTAGTTGTGTGATACAGTCCTCTTCCCGTGATGTAGAGGTGGTAACCGTAGTTGGACCTGACATATGTACATGTTATCAGAGTTTGTTGGCATGTTCACCGCATGTACTCTGTGTGTGGTTAACGCAGACTTGATCCCTTACAAAAGGTTTCTATTTGGTGTTAATAATGAATCATACAAAAAACGTGTTTTTTTTCTGAAAAAATAACAATAGGTGTTAAACAGGAGTTGTGCTGTGTTCGAAATAACAAATAGATACCTTTTGCAAGGCACTAACCACACATCATTAATGATGTCTGCATTGTCTTAGAAACTCATTGGCCTACACCAGAGACAGCAGCCTTCTTCATGGCCCAGTCTCACCAGTGTCAGACCAGAGAACGCCAAAGGGCGTGTTTCTTAATACTGGCAAAAATCGGTCCCATAGATTACGTTTTATTTTATTTTATTACCTTTGATGACAACGACGACGATGATGTGACGACGATGATGATGATGATGTGACGCTGATGGCGATGATGGCGATTCAACTCGGGAGGGGGGTGTAAGGGCGCTTAGCGACCCCGCTTCTCACCGGCAAAGAAGCGCCCCGCTGGGTCCACCTTGCCGTCGTTGAAGCGGTTGTTGGGGCGGTCCTTGTCGACGGTTACCACCGGGGTGAAGCGCCGCTCGTCCCAGTCCAGCAGGCCGAACGTGGTGCCGCACGCCACCGCGTAGCCCGCCCGGCCGCGCCGCGGCACCGCGCACCCCACCGTCTCGTCTTCGGCCCCGCGCCGGCGGCACGAGAAGCGTCAACAGCAGCGGTGAGCGGATATAACTCACCGTGCGTGCGTAGTGCGGTGACTGCGCATCTGCGCACGTCTGCGTGTGTCTGCGTGTCCCGTGCCGGCCTTCACAGGTGCTCCCTAACAGCAGTTGCCCCGAGGTTATACGGGGGATCTTTGTCTTTGTAGGTGACTGAGAGCACACCGAGCGGTAGCCTCTCCCCTTCCAGTGCTCATGGAGCCTTACCCACAATGCCATGCGGTGATGTCATTGTCACTACAGGAGACCCCTCTACATTACCCACAATGCCCTGTGGTGATGTCATTGTCTCTACAGGAAACTCAGCTGCATTACCCACAGTGCCCTGCGGTGATGTCATTGTCACTACAGGAGACCCCTCTACATTACCCACAATGCCCTGTGGTGATGTCAATGTCTCTACAGGAGACCCCTCTACATTACCCACAATGCCCTGCCGTGATGTCATTGTCACTACAGGAGAAACGTCTGCCTTTGGCGATGCTGAGAATGCCCACGGTGTTACGCGTGAGTTGGAACATCTCTTAATGTAAGCGAACACATAGAGGCATGTGTGTGTACACGAATCAGCATGCGTGTGCGCGCGTACAAATACAGGTGTGTGGGTACGTGTGTAAACGGGCGTGTGTGCATGTCTGCACAGACGTACAGGCACGTGCGTGCACGTACAGGCGTGCGTGCGGGGTGCGTTGTAGCGTGCGATCAGCCGCCTACCCAGGTGCACCTTCTCCACGGTGCCCGTATGCGGGTGCCACCTGCACACGTCCTGCGCCAGCACGTCCACGTAGAGCAGCGTGCCCGTCGCGCCCTCCCACACGGGGCCCTCGCCCACGCGGCACGCCTCGCCCACCACGCTCTGCACCTGCACCCCCTGACATGCCGCCTGGGCACCGCACGCCACGGGGTCACCTTGAATCAATACGTGAGCTTTAAAATACGCCGCACGCACCCGGTTGGTGAGTGGGGAGGGGACGTCGCACACACGGCTGGTGAGTGGGAAGGGGACGTCACACACACGGATGGTGAGTGGGAAGGGGACGTCGCACACACGGCTGGTGAGTGAGGGGGGGGACGTCGCACACACGGTGGGTGAGTGAGGGGGGGACGTCGCACACACGGTGGGTGAGTGAGGGGGGGACGTCGCACACACGGTGGGTGAGTGAGGGGGGGGACGTCGCACACACGGCGGGTGAGTGAGGGGGGGACGTCGCACACACGGCGGGTGAGTGAGGGGGGGACGTCGCACACACGGCGGGTGAGTGAGGGGGGGACGTCGCACACACGGCGGGTGAGTGAGGGGGAGACGTCGCACACACGGTTGGTGAGTGAGGGGGGGACGTCGCACACACGGTGGGTGAGTGAGGAGGGGACGTCGCACACACGGTGGGTGAGTGAGGGGGGGACGTCGCACACACGGTGGGTGAGTGAGGGGGGGACGTCGCACACACGGTGGGTGAGTGAGGGGGGGACGTCGCACACACGGTGGGTGAGTGAGGGGGGGACGTCGCACACACGGTGGGTGAGTGAGGGGGGGACGTCGCACTCACGGTGGGTGAGTGAGGGGGGGACGTCGCACACACGGTGGGTGAGTGAGGGGGGGACGTCGCACACATGGCGGGTGAGTGAGGGGGGGGACGTCGCACACACGGTGGGTGAGTGAGGGGGGGACGTCGCACACACGGTGGGTGAGTGAGGGGGGGACGTCGCACTCACGGTGGGTGAGTGAGGGGGGGACGTCGCACTCACGGTGGGTGAGTGAGGGGGGGGGACGTCGCACCACACGGTGGGTGAGTGAGGGGGGAGGGGACGTCGCACACATGGTGGGTGAGTGAGGGGGGGACGTCGCACACACGGCTGGTGAGTGAGGGGGGGACGTCGCACTCACGGTGGGTGAGTGAGGGGGGGACGTCGCACACACGGTGGGTGAGTGAGGGGGGGACGTCGCACACACTGGTGGGTGAGTGAGGGGGGGACGTCGCACACACGGTGGGTGAGTGAGGGGGGGACGTCGCACACACGGTGGGTGAGTGAGGGGGGGACGTCGCACACACGGTGGGTGGGAGTGAGGAGGGGGACGTCGCCACACCGGTGGGTGAGTGAGGGGTGGGGGACGTCGCAACCACGGCTGGGTGAGTGAGGGGGGGGACGTCGCACCACCGGGTGGGTGAGGGGGGGACGTCCAGCCGTGGTGAGTGAGGAGGGGACCGTCCGCACACACGGTGGGTTGAGTGAGTGGGGGGACGTTCGCCACACAGGTGTGTGAGTGAGGGGGGGACGTTGCACACACGGTCGGGTGAGTGAGGGGGGAACGTCGCACACACGGTGGAGTGAGTGAGGGGGGGACGTCGCACCACACGGTGGTGTGAGTGAGGGGTGGGACGTCGCACACACGGTGGGTGAGTGAGGGGGGGGGACGTCGCACACACGGGCGGGTGAGTTGAGGGGGGGACGTCGCACACCTACGGTGGGTGAGTGAGGGGGGGACGTCGCACACACGGCGGGTGAGTGAGGGGGGGGACGTCCGCACACACGGCGGGTGAGTGAGGGGGGGACGTCGCACACACAGTGGGTGAGTGAGGGGGGGGACGTCGCACACACGGGCGGGTGAGTGAGGGGGAGACGTCGCACACACGGCGGGTGAGTGAGGGGGGGACGTCGCACACACGGTGGGTGAGGGGGGGACGTCGCACACACGGTGGGTGAGTGAGGAGGGGACGTCGCACACACGGTGGGTGAGTGAGGAGGGGACGTCGCACACACGGTGGGTGAGTGAGGGGGGGGACGTCGCACACACGGCGGGTGGGTGAGGGGGGGACGTCGCACACACGGTGGGTGAGTGAGGAGGGGACGTCGCACACACGGTGGGTGAGTGAGGGGGGGACGTCGCACACACAGTGGGTGAGTGAGGGGGGGGGACGTCGCACACACGGCGGGTGAGTGAGGGGGGGACGTCGCACACACGGTTGGTGAGTGAGGGGGGGACGTCGCACACACGGTGGGTGAGTGAGGAGGGGACGTCGCACACACGGCGGGTGAGTGAAGGGGGGACGTCGCACACACGGTTGGTGAGTGAAGGGGGGACGTCGCACACACGGTGGGTGAGTGAGGGGGGGACGTCGCACACACGGTTGGTGAGTGAGGAGGGGACGTCGCACACACGGCGGGTGAGTGAGGAGGGGACGTCGCACACACGGTGGGTGAGTGAGGAGGGGACGTCGCACACACGGTGGGTGAGTGAGGGGGGGACGTCGCACACACGGTTGGTGAGTGAAGGGGGGACGTCGCACACACGGTGGGTGAGTGAGGGGGGGACGTCGCACACACGGTGGGTGAGTGAGGGGGGGACGTCGCACACACGGCTGGTGAGTGGGGGGAGGAGGGGACGTCGCACACACGGTGGGTGAGTGAGGAGGGGACGTCGCACACACGGTGGGTGAGTGAGGGGGGGGACGTCGCACACACGGTGGGTGAGTGAGGAGGGGACGTCGCACACACGGTGGGTGAGGGGGGGACGTCGCACACACGGTGGGTGAGTGAGGGGGGGACGTCGCACACACGGCTGGTGCACCTCCTGCACACTCAAGAGCCACACCACCGATGGCCACGTAGAACAATGAAAGTGAACGAGTTTATTGAGGTCTCACCTTGGTCAATAACGAGCGCGAGCCAGCAACGCAGGACGCCCCGGCGGTGGTCTGGCGACTCAAACCCAACGAAGTTTTCAGCAGAATCTGGGGAGAGAGGAAAACAGACATGAACCATTTTATACTGGAGTCTCTCTTCCCATTATTAATTAAGTTAATTATTACATTAATCACTACCCTGCACGCAATTAAATCACCCAGTGTCAACCTTTCACCCCCATGCTAATGTTTTCTGGGAACCCTCGCGCCCGTGCTCGCGCGCGCGGGGGGGGGCCGCTGGAGTTACGGACGACCACTCAAGACGGTCGCTCCGTTGACCCGTGTAGTCCATACGGAGCGGGGGACCACGCTGGAGTTATGGACGCGTCAGTGACGACCACTCAAGACGGTCGCTCCGTTGACCCGTGTAGTCCATACAGAGCGGGGGACCCCGCTGGAGTTATGGACGCGTCAGTGACAACCACTCAAGACGGTCGCTCCGTTGACCCGTGTAGTCCATACGGAGCGGGAGACCCCGCTGGAGTTATGGACGCGTCAGTGACGACCACTCAAGACGGTCGCTCCGTTGACCCGTGTAGTCCATACGGAGTGGGGGACCCCGCTGGAGTTATGGACGCGTCAGTGACGACCACTCAAGACGGTCGCTCCGTTGACCCGTGTAGTCCATACGGAGCGGGGGACCCCGCTGGAGTTATGGACGCGCCAGTGATGACCACTCAAGACGGTCGCTCCGTTGACCCGTGTAGTCCATACGGAGCGGGGGACCCCGCTGGAGTTATGGACGCGCCAGTGATGACCACTCAAGACGGTCGCTCCGTTGACCAGCGTAGTCCATATTTAGAGGGGGGCCCACTGGAGTTATGGACGCGCCAGTGACGACCACTCAGGACGGTCGCTCCGTTGACTCGTGTAGTCCATACGGAGCGGGGGACCCCGCTGGAGTTATGGACGCGTCAGTGACGTCGATGCAGACTTGATGCCGTGCAAAAGGTTTCCATTTGGTGTTTGAATATCTTAACACGACTCCTGTTTTATTGCCAGAAAGGGTACAAACCCATTATAATTTTTTATTCATCTTGGATACTGATAGAAAGTTCCCATGGATATAACTGCTCGGCCCGAGCTATAAGTGCTCTGACACGTGCAACTGCCTCTGTGCTGGTGGCGTTCTCTGTTCTACCACTGGTGGTGAGACGAGGCCATGAAGAAGGCTGCTGTCTCTGGTGTAGGCCAATCAGTTTCAAAGACAATGCAGACATCTTTAATGATCAGAGCATTACTTTTTGGTTCTTTCGGTGAAGTCACGTAGAAAGAAAGTAAATTACATAATAGCATACGACGTTTCGATTGCAACACAAGCAATCGTCTTCAGGTACGAATGAATGAGAAAACAAACCGAGTAAACTTGAAAATATAATGCAATACAACACAGAGAGTCGGCTAACATAACAGTCAACACCCCACCTGGTTGATTACGTTCTTTCAGAGATTGCTAAATTTGAGAGAGACACAAAACACAGACACACAAGCAGAGAGAGACTCACACAGACAGAGAGGTACACACATAGGCACACAGAGAAACAACGCCTCTGTGTCGAGGCCTTAAATAGAGAGAGAGGGGGGCAGAGAGAGGGGGGGGGGGGGTAGAGAAATTTGCATGTCAATGAAAGATTTGGAGCTTTCGTGACTGCAGGAATTACTAGAGAGACAACACAGAGCACGTGTGTTGGCATGTTTTTGCATCAAGTGTGGTTAGTGCCTTGCAAAAGGCATCTATTTGTTATTTCGAACACATGACCACAACTCCTGTGTTATTGCCAGAAAGATTAAAACCTATTATTATTTTTTCAGAAAAAAACCATGTTGCTTTTTGTATGATTCATTATTAACACCAAATAGAAACCTTTTTGCAAGGAGTCAAGTCTGCGTTAACCACACACAGAGTACATGTGGTGAACATGCCAAGAAACTCTGATAACATGTACATATGTCAGGTCCAACTACGGTTACCACCTCTACAATATGAAACTGGGATACATCACGGGAAGAGGACTGGATCACACAACAATTAATTATCAGAGCACGTGTGTTTGCATGTTTGTGTGTGTGGTTAATGCAGACTTGATGCCTTGCAAAAGGCATCTTATTTGGTGGTTGAACATCTGAACACACCTCCTGTTGTATGTCCAGAATGGGTAATAATAAAGCGTTTCTTCACAGTTTCATTAAGTCCAGGACAGGTAATAAGTGGAACGTAAGGGGAGTTCTTCAACCACCCGGCACTGGCACTTAACCGCTCCGTCTCAACCTCTCAGGGATGGTGACCCACACCCCAGTCCAGACCACTGGCTCCACAGCTCACCAAGGTCAAAAGTCCACGCCCTCCAGTCAACACGGTGGATTTAAGGCACGTGTTGGGGATATCATTGTGTCAGCGACGCGCAAGGGTTTCATGTTGTGTATCGGTGTGTTTTGTGTCAGTAAGGCATGTGTTTAATGTTGTGTATTGGTGTGTTTTGTATGAGTAAGGCAAGAGCTTCATGTTGTTTATTGGTGTGTTTTGTATGAGTAAGGCAAGAGCTTCATGTTGTTTATTGGTGTGTTTTGTATGAGTAAGGCATGTGATTCATGTTGTGTATCGGTGTGTTTTGTATGAGTAAGGCAAGAGCTTCATGTTGTTTATTGGTGTGTTTTGTATGAGTAAGGCAAGAGCTTCATGTTGTTTATTGGTGTGTTTTGTATTGGTAAGGCATGTGCTTCATGTTGTGTATTAGTGTGTTTTGTATGAGTAAGGCATGCGTTTCATGTTGTGTATTAGTGTGTTTTGTATGAGTAAGGCAATAGCTTCATGTTGTGTATTGATGTATTGGTAAGGCATGTGCTTCATGTTGTGTATTGGCGTTTTGTGTTCGTCACGCACGCATTTCACGTTGTGTGCTCGGTGTTGTTTTGCGCCGAAATGTGACGTCGATATTCCCGGCACAACATCACAACCCTGTGCCACCCGCGGAAGGCTTTCCAACTGCTGCTCGAAACCAATCATCAATGAACAGATGACTGCACGAGGATATAAACGACGACGATCGAAAAAAGTGCAAAGGCGTACAGGCTTTTGGAGTGTCAGTCACGAGTTCAGAGTCTGCCAAGGAGATTGCCTCTTTGCTATTCGAGCGTAATTTAAAGTTCCAAGTCGGGCAAAACCGATCATCGGACTGCGATCATTAAACGGGGCGAGTTAATGGTAAACTCGTTTTACCTTTACATTCGATTTTTTTGTGGCAGCCCACTCACGTGAGAAAATAAAAAATAATAAAACCCCCATGAGAAAATGTGAAAGTGCCGACTCGGCATGCCGAAAGCCAACTGAAACCCATTCGTCCGTCGGCTTTTTTCTTCGCGGGGAGAGCAACGGGCCGAGCGTTCCCAAACGGCGCCGCGAGATCCGTGCCGGACGATTACGGTGAAGGGACGCGTCGTGAAATCAATAGCCCGGCGGCGAGTGTCGGTTTGCATGGAGCCATTCGTGTTCATCCGGACGAGGAGGGGGCTCCGCCCCCCCACACCCACGTCGTATGCGTCTCGACGGGGGGGAGGGGGGGGGGTGTGGGGGTCGTTTGACCATACTTCACCACGCCGTTCAGGCGCGCGTTGGCGAAATTGGGCGACGCAGAAGTAGGAGCAGCATTGAATCCAATGGTGGAGCCAGGATTTTCAGGTAAGGAGGGCAACCCCTCCAGCAATGAAAAATTATATCGGAGTTGTTAGTAAGTAAAGACTTGTCCCTTGCTTTTTATTCGACGCGTGTGCGGCGATGATGCAGCCATCGATCGAGTGTCGAATTCGAACCGCGTTGTGTGATAGGCATCGCGCTCGCTGAAGGTGTTGATGCCTTCAGGGAAGTCGTGTGCTGTGTACGCAGCTGCGCACAATTCTGAGTCACTTATAACTGCTTTGCTGTTAATTATTGCCAATTATGGACTCAGACTATTGTCCTATCATCTCATACAGTCCCTGGCACGTAATAATATGCTACACAGTGGCAGTGGGGGTCGCAAAATGCCGATTTATTACTAATAAACCCCAATGATCCGATTGAAATTAGGGATTTCGATCGGATCATTTGGGGGGCACGTGCCCCCCCCCCCCCCCCCCCACTGGCTCCACCAGTGATTGAATCAACAGCATTGAGATGCACTCAGCTTGCACTGCTCTCCACTGCCGACCACGCATCATATCGCTACCTATAGCGCCTGTTATGGATAGCTGTCGCTCATCCAAGCACTATGCAGGCTCCTCCGTGCATTCCGGGTGAACGTGTTCCGAGGCTCCCTTGGATTTATACCGAGTTAAATGAAAATCTGAGGGAAGAGAGGACATTTAATGTATCCAAGATGGACCAATGTATGTTGAACTTCTCTCGCACCGTACATAGCCAACCGTGCCAGTCGGAGGTGTGGGGAAGGACAACAAGCCAGACACAGAAAGCAGTCGTAAGAAATGAGTTTGTCAATCGAGATGATGATTTAAAAGTGCGAAGCTCCAGTAGCTTCCTAACATCGGAAGGGAAGAGCGTTCCAGACGGCCGCAGAGGCGCATCTGATAGCGCAGCTCGATGCGGTGACCGCCGTCTTTGCTCGACGGCCAGCCAGAAGCCGCTGCTGCTGCTGCTGCGAGGATGACGACCGGAGTTCACGCGATGGTGGTTTGTGCTCCTTGACGAGATCAGCGAGGCGGTATTGCGGTTCATTTGTGGCAGTGGCTTTGTGTGTAACGAGTGCATCATGTAGAGTAACTTCACTTAGGGTATTTTGTGAAACCGGCCACAAGTTATACAAATGCTCCAGAGGAAATGAAAGTAATTTCAATGACTACCGCCATGGTTAAACAAAGGGGCAATGACTGTTAAGCTGTGAGGTCACACAGCTTGGCCCAGAGCCAGATGCTGATATCTCGAGGCCAAAGCACCTCGGGTTTGGTTCCAGCCTGGCACAGAAAATAGTCCCAGCTCAGCTCGGCTCAGTTGTGCCGGCAGAAAAGGGTATTTAATAGGGCACATTGTTGATCGTATGCTGATGCCAGTTTCATAACAGACCACAGTGCGACTGGGGCCACAACAATCGCAATTAGTGGGCAGCATCGTAACGTCGTCGTCCGCTGCCATCGCTCGCCGGACACCATTGAAGCCGTTCACCGCGGTTCGCCCCAACCTCAACACGAGCGCGTCGACACACCGGACGATCCAACTCCCCCGCCGTGGACAAAAAAGGAATAAAGCGGCGGACGCGGCCAATCACGCGGGAGGTGGACCATCAACAGGTGCCGAGCCAGAACTCAACGGGTGAGTGCAGAACTCAAATCGAGGCAATGGCCTTCTCGTCGCACTGTGAGCCAGGGCGCGCCTCTCTACCCCACGCATCAGCCCGCGCCACTCCTCCCCCGTTTGAGACGGCAAATCCTCGTCGCGCCGGCACTCACCGCACCTCACCACCTCCATGGTGGGGCCCCCTCTCCTTGCCCATCCCACGCACGCGCATCAATCTCCGACCGCTCCCCTCAGGAGGCGAGTGGACGAGTTTAAAACCGTCCCAAGCCGTGGGAATCGCCGCACTTGAGAGCCCATCCGGACAAACGGTGGGGACGCTCGGGGTTTTTTTTTCACTTCTTGTTTGGGGAGAAAATCCAATCGACAAAATATCCTTTTTTTTTAAGCTTGAGAGGTCAGCGGCCGCTCCGGGTGGGAGGGAGAGCTGCGGGCGGCTGAATCTGCTCGTAGTTCTCTACGCATCCCAAGCCTCTCCGAGAGTCGGGGCAACCGCGCCCGGCCCGGGGAGCGTCCTCACCCCCGACGTTCGTTCCGGCGACAGCAAAAAACGAAATCGAGTGAATGGGAGCACGGGGAGTGGGAGCGTGTGGAGGGGGGGCGGGCGGCAGGGGACGCAAGACCGGAAGCGCGCGGGCTCAGCGGAGCGGCGGCAGCTGCACGTTGGCCTGGACACACGACGAGGAAATGAGATTAAGGAATCGGGAACGCTGCCTGGAGAAAGCTGGAGACGTCGCAGCACCAAAGCAATGGGAGAGCGTGAAGAGGAAATTCACAAACCCCACAGATAAACACTCATTAATTGGCCAGGAACACCTTTATATATAGAGGACCACAGATCTCGGGGGGAGGGGAATTTTATGCCAGCTCACCGCCTGGCTGCTACGTTGCCGCTGGGTCTGTGGTTCCTCGTGCCTCCAGTGATGTCTCTCTCCACGAGGGTGAGCGGGTGGTGGGTGGGTGGTGGTGGTGGTGGCCCATCACAGGGATGAGTTTAACCTGGGAGATGTGAAACAGAACTCGCGATACACAAAACAAACATGAGAAATATTAGGCGACTCTATGCAGATCTTCGAAGGATGAGTACAAATAAAAGCCAGGAATGAAAACTGCTTTTCGGGTGAAGAGGGAGTTCAAGATGCCACACGTAGGAAACAGCGTCCTCCACGGTGCGTGAAAGAGAGGAAGCTCTGACAGCAGATGGCAACGGTGGACATTGTCAGAGAAGCAGGACCAGCCGCTGGATGAGAATTGGCAGAGACCTATTTACTCCATACAGAATTGGCAGAGACCTATTTAGTCGAGACCGAATTGGCGAAGGGAATGCTCTTCCATGAGATATCATGGATCTTTGAGTATGTGGACGTTTTTAAAATGCGTCTTAAAGCCTATTTATATACGCTTCCGCTTGTTAAACTTTTAGTTCATTTAGCAAATGGATTCTTGAAATGTGTTTATAATATAATTATTTTCATGCTGAGCGTCTGCTACTGTGTCCAGTACAGCGCTCTGAGATCCTGGATGAAACGCGCAAAATTGTCGGAATTATTATTCTTTACTCGATGCTTACATGGAATGCCTCAATCATAGGATAGTGCCTCGGCCGTTACTTTATTCAGTGTCTTATCACATGCACGTACTGCTGATTGTGAATCTAATTTGTAAATAGAATCATCTGAGAAAAACCAACCACACTCACGAGCCGGTTTTGGGACAATGTGTAGGTGGTTTATAGGTTGTATTTAATAAGTTTAAGTTAATTTATTTGATAGAGCCCTGTGAGCCATTCGGCTCTTGAATCGGGTGCAACCGCAACAAACAAAAAACATGAACAAGAAAACATCTTAAAGTGACTATGTGCAAACTGAAAATCCAGGGAAAAAAACTGCAAAAATTCCAGCAAAAAGCACCGTACACCAACGCTGTAAGAATCGGCTTCATCTTTGCCGGCAATAACACAGAAGGTGTTAAGATGTTCACATGCCAAATAGACACCGACTGCCAAGAGGGGTTCTACTGGACTTAGGATGGGTGGATCACCAGGGCTTGCCAGGTGTTTTAAGTGTGGGGCTGAGAAGTTGCCAGGCGATGTGGTGTGTTATCTCCCTGCACGTGTTTTCTTCGGTAACTCTGGTTCCCCCCCTCCCCCCAGATGCGAATGTTGACATTGGCAAACATCCCGATGCAGGACCCTCCTGGAAAGATAATCTTGAGACTTTCCCGAATAAATAATTGTCATCGCTTATGAGTACGTGCTCATAGTTGACCCCAGATCTCCATTGACAGGTACCTCTCAATGAATCTATCTCCTCCCTAAACTGTACAAGCGAATCGGAGCAGAGGTGTCTGAAACGGTCGCTGGGAAACGTCGTGGTGAGAACAGAATCCGTCGTGCAGAAGACCGCAAGGGAAGACGGGGCAGGTTGTGAGCGTCGTAGATATTGTTTGGTAAATGAAACAACAGCGGTTGCGCTGTGGTGGGAGGGCCTCTGTGCAGGATGGAGGAGGATGGTGGAGGAGGAGGAAGGCCGATTTGCTCGGGACAGACGTCCTTTGGCTTGGCTATATGAGAGTTGAAAACAGCGGTCTCAACGGTCACAGAGTATAAAAGTGAGGGCAGATCGTGGGAGACTCTAAGGGCAGATCGTGGAGGTCGCAGCGTGTCTGGCTAAAGCAAGGGTCGGCAACCAAAATAACAAGAAGAGCCATTTCTTTCCAATTCGGTACAAAATTCAGTATTTCAAGAGCCGCAATGCATCTATGTACATACTGTATATACGTACATATCGTCAAGAAGCAGCCCGTAAAGAGCCGCATGCGGCTCCGGAGCCGTAGGTTGCCGACCCCTGGGCTAAAGCAAGAAACTGCTGCAGCATGTTACAACACCCTCTGGCGCGTGCCATGACGGGGGTGCTGCAAGATCTGAGCGTGTCCGTCCGGTACTCGCCGAGCTGCATGGGCTTTCAGTAGCCGAAGGAACGCGTCATAAGGTCGCACTCATTACACGCACAAAGCGCTTGCTAGCAATGAACCACAATGCCTTGCCGATCTCGTCTAGGAGCATAAACCACCATCACGCGAAATCTGGTCGTCATCCTGGCAGCACAGGCGGCTTTTGGCTGGCCATCGGACAAAGACGGTGGTCACCGCATCGCGCAGCGCTTCGAGATGCGCTTCTGCGGCCATCTGAAACACTCTTCCTTCCAATATTAGGAAGGCACTGGAGCTTATGCACTTTTACATCTATATTGAAAATTGATTTCTTCAGAACTGCTTCTTGTTGGGCTTAGTCTGCTGTCCTCCCCCACACCTCCGATATGCACGGTTGGCTACGTACGGCGCGAAGAACACATTCCTGCAAAGGTAGCTGGTAGGAACGTTGGGTTGCTCGGTCAATGGCCAGGGTCAACGGCGGCGTGGTGTATTCCGCAAATATGCCCGACTGTGAGGGCGGGCACAAGCCGGCGTGAGTAGGTTAAACGTTGAGTTTTATCAGGGCACCACGGGGTGACCAGCCCCTCCCCACCCAGCCCCACCCCTCCCACCCCCCACCCAGCCCCACCCTTCCCACCCAGCCCCTCCCCAGCCAGCCCCTCCCCACCCTCCCCTCTCCACCCAGCCCCACCCCTCCTATTTTTGGATGCACGACGGACAGACACAATAATCCCCTGTGGGCTGGTGTAACCAGGAGGTTCCTACCAGTAAAAAGTTCAACATACATAAACATACATACATACACATAACAGCTGCAGGTTCTGGCACAAAGCAGAGGTGTGGTGGTGGCGGCATCTCAACATCTCTGGCCACGGCGATATCCGGGTTGGGTTTGCGTGGCAATAGCGCAACCTAACAACATGCAGTCAGCAGGGCCCGAATTAATGTTCCTGTAGGCCCGAGGCAATTTGTTTCGTAGGCCTTCAGTGATAACTTTCTAAAGTTGGTACTACTGCCGCTGTCACTCTGCTCGTTTCACGCGTAGCAGAACAACGCCGCCTTGTCTTTCCTTGCAGCGCTCTCTATTGAGAATGAGATTGTGCGAAAGACACCATTTCAAGATGTTATTCGCTATTTTTGCAATGAAAAAAATCTCGAAAAGTTCATCTCCGGTGTTCATTTCTCTCTCACCTCATGAAAAAAAAACTACTGACATTTACATGACTCTGCCTCTTTGTATAAAAACTGCCTTGCTATGTATAACTATATTTATTCAAGAATATATCTTGGTTAGATTTTTTATCATACAGACAATAATGGTCAAATGTTGTTTTTAAAAGCCCTTTAATTTTGCCCAAGGCACAGTGCCTACTGTAACCTATTGGATAATGCGGCCCTGGTGGGTGGGTGAGTGGGTGCGTGGGTGAGTGGGTGAGTGGGTGGGTGAGTGGGTGGGTTGGTGAGTGGGTGGGTGGATGTGTGAGTGGGTGGGTGAGTGGGTGGGTGAGTGGGTAAGTGAGTGGGTGGGTGAGTGGCAGGGTAGGTGGGTGGGTGGATGGGTGAGTGGGTGGGTGAGTGGGTGGGTGGATGGGTGAGTGGGTGGGTGGGTGAGTGGGTGGGTAGGTGAGTGGGTGGGTGGGTGAGTGGGTGGCTGGGTGGGTGAGTGGGTGAGTGGGTGGGTGGGTGAGTGGCTGGGTAGGTGGGTGGGTGGGTGAGTGGGTGGGTGGGTGGGTGAGTGGGTGAGTAGGCCCAAGGCACAGTGCCCACTGTGGCCGATTGGATAACGCGGCCCCTGGCAGTCAGTCCACTTTACACAGCAGCGAGGCGGAAGGGGCAATGATGAAATGTCATCATCATCAAATCTCATGGCAAGCGCTGGAAAATTCCGCGCGTTGCAAACGCTGTAATGCTCAGCACATGCTTGGCTATAGGCCACACTCTCACCCAGTGTGGTTGGGGAGTTTGAGTTTGTTTTTGTTTGTTGCGAATCGCGTCGATGATGAATGGCACTTTCAGCTTAAATCAAGAACAGATAACGCAAGTTTTTTTCTTTAACTCAGTTTTAACTTGCAAGCCACTCTCCACAACCTATTCAATTGGGGCTTCACCCGCGCGTGTGTCCACGTACAGTTGCTCATCCACTGCTGGATGAGAGCCTCTCAAATCCCTGGGTGGTGGTGGTGGGGCGGTGTGTTATATGACCATTCTTCACCACTCTGGTCAATAGCGCCGTGCGCAATAGGCACCCCCCCCCCCTTCCTCGCATCAGTGCAATCACTAACATCATGAGCCAAGAATGTCTGTGTGTAACGCGCGTGACGTCACTCCAAGTCGACCAGCCCCCCTAATGAATGATGATGAACAGGTGGGGTCCTCCACAAGGACCCCCCCCCCTCATTAATAATCATGAACGGGTGACGTCACTACGCATGAAGGTGGAGCGGAAACCAACATTTGTTTACGCAAATGAGCTTTCATTTTGTCCTTTCTTTATGGAAAGTAAAGCGAATAAAGAAATCATTAATGTATAAAAAGCCAGAGCCTTGATATCACGCTCACTCCGTAACGCCGTCATTAATAATCGTGATCGGTTGACGTCCCTCAACATGGGTGGGGGGGGGGGCTCTTTACCGAGAACTTAACCCTCATTAAAAAGCCAGAACCCTCATGCCACTTGAACTCTGCAATCCTATTGAGACGTGAAGGAAAAAGGGCGTCTTGATGAACATGGGATATAGCCGTGAGATAAAAACAAAGTCTGTGTTACCGGCCTTACAGATGGCACACCAATGGATGCACTGAATATGATTTCACTGCTTTTCGCTTGAATGTGTCAGATTTACTGCAATACACCCGTCCTTGGACGGGCTATAGGCTATAGTGTCAAATAAATCCTCGTCATCGTAAAGGCTCTTGGTTGAGCTGTCATTTGTGGTGGCCATGAATAAGAAGCTACACGGCTCAGTAGGCTTTACCTGATCAAATGAAACTA